AAAAAAAAAAAAAAAAAAAAAGAAGAAGCAGCAGCAGACACCCAGACAGAATAGCAAAGTGGGACTATCCAGGGGCCAAGAATTTTCAGAGCTGAGAGCTTTCAGAGTTTTCAGGGGCCTGACAGCATTCTGGGCTGAGGGCCTTGAACAGACTCTGACCCATGTGGTTATTCTCTCTGAACACATGATTATTATTAACAAGCAGGTGTTCTGTGTTTTCTCACAGAGACAAGATAAACTAGGTAGGCAGCTGATACCTGCTTACCACTGATCACAGACAAACTAGAAAGTATTCTCCACGAGGAAGCCATGGGGGCAGGGTCACATATCCTGTGCTTAAAGAATTGTTTTAACAGGTGTATGATATACATATACTGTTTTGCTACTTTAGAATGCCCCAAGCAGTTTTCCACTTGCTGGGGGGTGGTGGCCAGGTTTTCCTTGCCATCGTTCTCAACAAACAATATAATTTATCATACACCCAGCATTTCTCAGCAACCACACACTCGGCGTTTATTCTTTCTTTCTTGCATTTCTCAGCAATCACACACTCAGCATTTCTCTCTCTCTCTCTCCTTTCTTCTTTTCTTTCTTCTTTTGAGACAGGCCCTCACTCTGTTGCCCAGGCTGCTGGTTCACTGCCGCCTCACCCTCCCAAGCCATGAGATCCTCCCACCTCAGCCTTCTAGGTTGCTGAGACTACAGGTACATCCACCACGTCCAGATTTTTTTTTTCAATTTTTTGTAGAGATAGGGTCTTACCATGTTGCCCAGGCTGATCTCCAACTCCTGGCTTCAAGTGACTATACTCTGCCTCCCAAAGTGCTAGGATCACAGACATGAGACACCACGCCCAGCCTAAAATAATCCCCACCAAATGATCCATTCACCTTTGCTGTTTATCCCAATATACCTATCATCCACTGATGTGCAATTTAAATACTTTACTAATCTGTCATTAGTTTAATGATGTCTCCATCAGCATGGCTGTGCCTTTGGGAGCATGTATATGTGAGAATGTCTTATATTCTCACTGTTCAGCCCAATCTAACATTCACTGAATACACTTCATGTGAGGGCACTGTTCTGAGTGTTAGGCATACAAGCAGCAGTGAACCAGACAGAAAAAAAAAATCTTGCCTTCATAGAGTTTATGTACAAAGAATGGGAGATAAGCAAGAAAAAATAAAATATGTAAAAGGTTTGCCAGATGATGCTGAGAGCTGCAGAGAAAATAAAGCAGAAAGGAATATGAGGGGGACAGATTGTAATTGTAATAGTGGTCAGAGAAAGCATTACCATTAAGAAAACACTTGAACAAGAACAGGAAGGAGGTAAAGAAATAACAACGAAGGCCAGGCGCGGTGGCTCAAGCCTGTAATCCCAGCACTTTGGGAGGCCGAGGCGGGTGGATCACGAGGTCAAGAGATCGAGACCATCCTGGT